GAAGTGCACATTTATTGGATACGGTATTGATGAGTTTGAGTATCGCCTTTGGGATGAGAAGAACACAAAGATCATCAAAAGCAGGGACGTGATATTCAATAAGGATGTGATGTACAAGAATAAGGAAGATGCCAAGGATAGCCAAAGCAGTGGGAGCAGCATTTTAGATACAGATGGATCTGAGTACATGGATATAGAGGAACTTCCAGACAGGGGAGATGATATTTCATCTGACCACAAAATAGAGGAGGCTCCAGGTGCAGAAGAAACTACCTAGGACGTGGAACTTAGGAGGTCATCTAGGGTACCCAAGCCAAATCCCAAATATCTTTCATCTCTTGACTACTTATTATTGACATATAGCGGTGAGCTAGAAAGCTATGAAGAGGCAATGCAAGTAAGTGAATCTCAGCAGTGGGAGCATGCGATGCAAGAGGAGATGGATTCTCTACTCACTAATGAGACTTGTGAGTTAGCCCAGCTACCTGCACAGAAGAATGTCTTACATAACAAATGGGTCTACCGGGTCAAGTAAGAGAGTAATGGAAGCAAGAGATTCAATGCCAGATTAGTAGTAAAGGGGTTTCAATAGCGGGAAGGAGTGGACTATACGGAGATATTTTTCCCTGTTGTGAAACTCACAACCATCAGAGTGGTGTTGAGTCTGGTGGCTGCAGAAGACCTCTTTCTTGAGCAGTTAGATGTGAAGATTGCCTTTCTTCATGGTGACTTGATGAAGAAATCTACATGAAGCAGCATGTTGGCTTCATTGAAGAAGGAAAGGAAGAGATGGTGTGCAAGCTCAAAAAGAGCTTATATGGTTTAAAACAGGCTCCAAGATAGTGGTATAAAAAGTTTGATAACTTCATGCAGAACAATGGCTACAGAAGATGCAATTCAGATCATTGCTGTTGTTTCAAAAGGTTCGAGTCTAGCTTTATTATTTTGTTATTGTATGTTGATGACATGTTGGTAGCAGGACCGTGTTTGGAGGAGATAAACAGTTTGAAAAAGCAGCTAGCAAAGGAATTTGTAATGAAAAATCTGGATGCAGCGAAGCAGATTCTAGGGATGTGAATCAGTAGGGATGAAGCTGAAGGGATATTGAGATTGAGCCAAGCTGAATACATTAAGAAGGTACTTCAGAGGTTCAACATGCAGAATGCTAAAGTTGTTAGCACACTCCTTGGAGGTCAGTTCAAGCTATCTGAGGAGAAATCACCTAAGACAGATGCAGATAGAGAGCATATGAGCATGGTGTCATATTCTTCGGCCATTGGGAGTCTCATGCACGCGATGATTTGCATGAGGTCAGACATCGCCCATGTAGTGGGAGTTGTGAGCAGATTTGCAAGCAATCAAGGGAAGCAGTATTAGGAGACCGTGAAGTGAATAATGCGGTACTTGAGAGGGACAACGAACAAGCCATTATATTTCAGGAGGAAGGAGTTGGTACTGTAGGGATACATGGATGCGGATTTCGCCGGTGATCATGATACGAGGCGAAGCACCACGGGGTATGTTTATACCTTAGCGTCGACAGCAGTGAGCTGGGTCTCACGTCAGCAGAAGATTGTGACTTTGTCTACAATCGAGGCTGAGTATGTCGTGGTGACTAAAGGAAGCAAGGAGATGATTTGGTTGAACGGGTGCTTGGAAGAGTTGGATTTGAAGCAAGGGAGAGGAGTTCTTTATTATGATAGCCAGAGCGCTATACATCTTGCCAAGAATCCAGTATATCATGCCAAAACGAAGTACATCGATGTTAAATACCATTTTATACGCTCGCTAGTTGAAGATAGAAAGTTGCATTTAATGAAGATTTTGGGGAGTCAAAATCCGACGGACATGTTGACGAAGGCAGTCACCATTAAGAAACTGGAGTTGTGCGTAACTTCAGTTGGTCTTCACGAGTAGAAGATGAAGGCGGAGCCACACTATGAAAATCGGCACGATCGCCGGGATATTGTTAATTGAAGAAAGAATTTTCTGGGGGAGAAGATACATGCGAAGAAGGGGAGAGTTTGGGTGAACTCACTGTAGACACTTTGGTCTCCAAGTGGGAGATTGATACTATAAAGTGTAGACCCAAAGTCGAGATAAGAGTTGCAATCAAAAAGACGAGAAAACAAGCAGACAGATCCACGGTCGACTACGATGATCGACCGCGAACGTGCACAACAGTTGGGAGGAGCTGAAGCTGAAGGCGGTCGACTGCGGCGCTCGACCGCGCCAACCCTGTAGGATTTTTGGTCTCGGGTTTTTTAGTTCGGTCGACCGCCGCAGTCGACCGCTCAACTCTCTGGAATCTGAGGAGCTTCTGTCGTTTGGCACGGCCGACCATAACTTCAGTTGGTCTTCACGAGTAGAAGATGAAGGCGGAGCCACACTATGAAAATCGGCACGATCGCCGGGATATTGTTAATTGAAGAAAGAATTTTCTGGGGGAGAAGATACATGCGAAGAAGGGGAGAGTTTGGGTGAACTCACTGTAGACACTTTGGTCTCCAAGTGGGAGATTGATACTATAAAGTGTAGACCCAAAGTCGAGATAAGAGTTGCAATCAAAAAGACGAGAAAACAAGCAGACAGATCCACGGTCGACTACGATGATCGACCGCGAACGTGCACAACAGTTGGGAGGAGCTGAAGCTGAAGGCGGTCGACTGCGGCGCTCGACCGCGCCAACCCTGTAGGATTTTTGGTCTCGGGTTTTTTAGTTCGGTCGACCGCCGCAGTCGACCGCTCAACTCTCTGGAATCTGAGGAGCTTCTGTCGTTTGGCACGGCCGACCATTGCGGTCGACCATGAGACATGCGCGGTCGACCGCCACGGTCGACAGCGACGCAGTCAAACAGTTTCCTAAATTGTTTTGGATTCTGTTTTCCCCGAGAATCTATATATACCTTAAACGTTTTTAGGTTTGTAACAACACGAAAAAAAGAGCTTTTTGACTACAGAAAGAGAGAGAATCTCAGAGAGATTAAACCCTAGTTTGAGAGATTATAATTCTTCTTCAATTAATAAAGAGATTGTGTGGTGTGGCACCCGAGGACGTAGGCATGTTGCCGAACCTCGTTAAATCTGTGTATTCGTCTCCTTTATTATTTTTGCAAGGTTAAATCTTTATTTGTGGTATTATTCCTACTTTTTTACTTTCAACACAAGTTCCGGAAAGGGCAAGGATTCGATTGATTGTTTCGAATCCCCAACAACGTGGAGAGATCTGACCCCTACATCACGCCTCGAAAATAGAGCCTCAATCACTTTTTACCTACTCCAAAATAGAGGCTCTATTTTCGAGGAGTTATGTAGGAGCGAGATTTGTCTAAATCACAACCAAATTCAATGAAAAAACTTGGTACTAAGGTTCTTCATATATATGTGTGTGTGTTTTTTTTCCCTAAATTTGATTATTTCTTTAGCTCACCTAGAGAGACGGAGCTGATTCAGTCGGGTTTATTTCTTACTGATTTGACTGGGATATTACTACTTATATCTTATTGAAATATGTAAATGTTATTTGGTAATAAGTTTAACTTTGTAATATAACTTTTAACTAGAAACATTATTATTTTCACACATGAATGTGCCAAATAACTTCTACCTCTCTCTCGAGGCTTACACGTTCAATCTAATTTTAGCCCGTGCTATGTATGAGAAACAAATTATAGCAAATTCAGTTCATTAACGATGTGTATGTGTCAGAAAGAAATTAACGCAAATTTAGTTCATAAACAATATATATATTTCTTTGAAAATTTTAAAATAGGATAGATATATTGAATTAGGGATGTATGTTTGTTCTTAGCACGAGCTAAAATACTAATTCACTGTTAAAAGTACTAAAATATAATTAAGAAGTAAATATGGTTGGTAATTGTATATTTGGTTGGCGCATCACTCATTTAAAGATGCGTTCAAGGGCTAAATTGCACTTAAATGCCACACAGTTTCTTCGATTTTTCATTTATTTGCCACAAGTTGTATTTTGTGGTAGAAAAATATCAAAAGTTGTCAAAAATTAGCATGTTATGCATCATTGATCATGGAAACATGAAAATTTTTATTTGAATATTCTCATATGACACTAACATGCTAATTTTATAAATTGCTAAACATTAATATTTGATAAATTTGTCATTAAACATATCCCAACTCTATTTTAAAATATAATTAAGATAAGTTTTAAAAAAGTTTGATTGATTTAATAACAAATTTAAATATTAATAGCTAAAAGAATCTAAATTTAGTAAGTATCATAGAGAAACTATCGGGCAAAATTTTCACGTTTGCATGATCAAGAATACCAACGTGTGAAATTTTGAACAACATATGTCATAAAATAGAAATTGTGATATATAAGTGGTAGAACGGAAAATTTTGGTGGTATTTAAGTGCAATTTACCCCCACGTTCAAACCATCAGTTGTAATCTGAACATGTTGATACTTAAAAAGTAATGATCCAAATGTGTCATCTCAGCTACCCACCACTCGCGAAATTACTTGTATTAGAACGCCCTTTGTTGATTTTCTCTCTTGGCCCTGCTGCTTTCGGGTTTGAGCTAGTTGAGTGTATTAGAAAGCCCTAAAACATGGAAGAAGCAAACACACCATAATTTCTGACACGATTGCGAACTCCCTTGTGCTCCAATTCTTTAGACAAGATTCTAACGAAAACCCACATTCCTAAACTCACAAAAAAGGTTTACTTCTCCCTCAGCAAGTGATTGAAACGTGAAAGCTATTGTTTTAGATCCACAGTTGTATGTAAACGCGTCTAAACCAAGTAACTCCATCAACTCTCCCATAAAAACTCAAGCAAACCCGTGCACTGTGCGACAACTGCCAACCCCCGTTGTTGCGCCGCCACGCGTCCACTAGCGGATCCCGCACTCAAAATCTCTCATTCCCTCCTACATTATATCAAAGACGCGTATAAATTCAAGCATACACCAAAGTTTCGATCAACTTAATAGCTGAAATAGGAAGTTAATACATGGAAGAGTTTGAAGAGGCCGAAATAATGTGGCCGGACCAAATTGCTGATGATGATTTCGGCTGGAGTCGAGGCGCCGACGAGGATTTTTCAACGGAAAAGAGTGATGACCGTCATTGTCCTTCGACAGTGAAGGAGTCGTTGACAGTGCCTATAAATATTATCAAAAGGAAGGCTAGCGGTCGTTCTGACTGGAAATTGAAATTTGATTGTTATGCTGGTGACAGCAAAACCAGTGTCGACGGCAATACTAGCGGTGATTTTATCGGAGATATCATACCTCCTCATGTATTGGTTTCGGAGAGAAGTGCCGGAATGATGGTCGGAGAGGGAAGGGCGTTGAAGGGTCGGCGATTGAGTGATGTTCGGAATTCAATTCTTCGGATGACCGGATTCCTTGAGGCATGATGTCTTGAAGCAGATTTATAGGCAATTGTGTTGTCATTTTTACCAAGAGTTCTTAAATGTACGTTGAAAATTTTACGTTGTACATGGATATTGTGTGCTCTTATGTCTCTATATTATCTCGCGTAGAATTCTTGTTGATTTTGTCAAGGCATAGTTAATTGCGGGAGGATCATGAATTGGAGGAAAGGGGCATTTCATTAATGGGTAGAGAGGATGCAAATTGGTGCAGATAGACCCTCTTGATGATTCTTTTCAATCTTTTAAGACCTAAAATAATTAGCAATTGGGGGTCAATCCTCAATCATTAGAAGTAGTAGCGATCTGTCTGTTTCCTAGAAGGTTTTTTTTACTCTTTTAAATGTAAAAAATTCACTCTAAAGTCCTATTGTGCATGCAGCTCAGATTTGACATTTGGGTTAACTAGACCATATCATAAGAACGAGTTTACTTGGTCAACCAGATGTTCGCGGGGAAAACTGTTTTCTTCATTGAAATAAAAGTCATCTTGGATTACAAAGATCCGGTCTTTTATAGATCCGGTTACAACTAAATCAAAGAAATAAAAATAAAAATTACAACTTTCCTCTTGTGAACAAATCGCGAGCTCCTGTTTTGCGGTCGCTCGCTTTGGTGGGTTCTTTGCCTGCGCCGGGGTTAATCCGTGGACCACCGCACGATCTAGATCCGGTCGGATCTACACGATTATACGGGTATTATTCCACGAAGGGAATAATAGCCGGGAGGGATTAGTCCACCAAGGGAATAATCGCTCGGATCTCGAGATCTAAGACCAAGCTTAGATCTGGAGTGTGATCTCGTGTAGATCTCAGATCTGTTCTTTCTTCCTCTCGAAATCCTGCCTTTTCTGACGTGGATGCTCGCCGAGGATCAGATCCGAATGTGCAAGTCTTCAAGTCTTCAAAGCTCCGAGTTCACTCTTCAATCCGGCAGAGTTTCGGCTCTTGAAAGTTCCCCCTTTGAAATGAACAACCCCTTGGCCTATTTATAGGCTCTCAGGACAGTGCCCGCAAACAGAGAAACGTCGGCCACCGTCGGCCACTGTCGGCCACCTCTGGGTGGCCGGCACTGTGCCGAGCCACCTTGAGGTGGCTCGGCTCTTGGCCAAGCCACCCCAAGGTGGCTCGGCTCTTGATTCGATCGTGATTCGTCCGAGTCTGTTCCCGGTTGGATGACTCGTTGATTCTTTAACACTTGGCTTGATTCCGAACGTGTATGGATTCATTCCGTTGTTCGCGTGCGATTTGTCGATCTCGTCGCCTCGTTGGTTCGTCGGTTTGTGCCGAGCTATGCTAGGGGACCTATAAGCAATTTTATATGCCTACAGATACCCCCTCCAAAGTATTTCAGTCTCGTTCTTTTATAGAAGAGTCTGGAATACTTTGGATATGATTGCCCCCCCACCTTTAGTCGGTGTAATGGGATCTTGGAATGATTCCCGTTCTTGACTCCTTCAATTCTCCAGGCTTTTCGGTGCTTTGTCGAAAGTCTGTAAGAGTTCCGGTGCTGCATTTATTGTCTGACCGTTTGTCGGAATTTTGAACTTTGAAGTCGATTCCTGATTTCTAATTTTTTAGCTGACCATTGATTGTGGCGTCGAGTCTTTATGCGCAACGCGTTGTCCGGCGTAGTGTGGTTGAGTTATCCTTAAGAATATTTATAAACGATATTCTCCAGGAACTTCTCAAACCAAAAATAGGGAATAGTTTATACTCATATACCTTATTGGAGTGTTTCTGTGCCTAAATGAGCTGAACCGGCTTAAAATGAGCCAAAAAAGGCAGTAAATCGGCTCAAAAAAAATCCTCCGACTCTTCCGAACAAATGGGAGAGGAGTTGAGTGAATGATGGACTGAACCGTCGCTCGATTTGAAGTCGTTTCGATGTTCGGTTCGGCTTCAATTTGGATTCTGGTTCAAAACCGGTCCGGTCCGGTTTGGTTCGGTTTGGTTCAATCCGGTTCACCCTATAAAAAGGGGTCTTTTTTCTTTTTGCTTTTCTCTCACCTAGGGCCGGCCACCTCTTCCCCCTTTTTTTTGAATTTCTCTTCCCTCGAGCATCCGTTCTCCCTCAAAACTTGATATCCGTCTTAGATCTAGCATTCCTTTGGATCTTTGACTGAGAAATCCCTCGAAACTTCCATTTTTAGAATTTCTCTCAGGCCCCTCGAGCGCGTGGTTCGAGCACTTTTCAAGATCTAATTTTTATTGGATCTTCGAGCTTTCCCTCAGGTATATCTTCCATAATTTTAGCATTTTTTTATGCTTAATTTAATTTATGAACTTGTGGGATTGCATGCGAGGTTTCTTTAGGGGAAAAAAATGTGATTTTTTTTTTTTTTTTTTTTTTAGATCTGACCTCTTGATTTCTTTTGTAGGCCATTATGTCGCGAGTCTCGAGATGTCGTTTTCCTGCTGCATCGGCTGATGGCGTGCTTCCCTCATATGCTGGTGAGCTACCTTTTTTGGCATATTTACAAATTTACAAATTAGTCCTCTTTTTTCTGGATATTCGCAAATTGGTCCCTTTTACCCCCGTTGTTCTCCTTGGTGAGGCACCCGGGAAAAGCCTTGATTCTCCTTGGTGAGGATCGACGCTTTAAAGACGGAAATCTTACAAATTAGCACTTTTTTTTCTGAAAATTTTGCAAATTAGTCCTTTTACCCCATTTTGCTCTCCTTGGTGAGGCGATCGGGAAAAGCCTTGATTCTCCTTGGTGAGGATCGACGCTTTAAGGATGGGTTTTGCTTGGTCAAAACCACATCTCATAATAAAGGGGGCGTTTTGACGCTGCATCGTGCTTTATAAGGCAGGGATATATTGTCGATATACCCTATCTTATAAATGCGCAATGTGGCCAAATCGTCTCACCCTTTATAAGGTAATGACTCTATCTTACCAATTTGTAAGATGAGTTCAATTTCCTTTTATATCTGAAATTAACAAACACTTAACTGCTTGTTTTCAGTGGAATATCCTTCCGGAGCCTTTTCATCGCATGCGGTGAATGGACGTCGTGACGAATATTATTCGACGTCTGATGACTTTTCGCCCATTCCGCTTACTCCTCAGTTTGGTCCGGGCACGTCGTTGGAAGTTACCCAAGTGGTGAAGGAAGGTGGACATCAAGCCCTTCGCCAGCTGATCACAGATGCGCCTCTCGTACAGGATGCCTGTTCCGTTCAGTCTCTTAGGAAGACTGACTTCTTGTTTGGCGACTCTACCAGAGATCCCGATGCAGCACTTATTGAAGCTGAGCAGTGGCTTTACAAGACTGGCAGTCGTTTCATGTATTTGCCAAAGATTCCTCGACACCGTTCTTTGACTGAGCTCAGGCGCCAAGCTGTGAAGCGGGAGATGTCGTGGAGTTTGACAAAGGAACATGAGAGCGTTCACTGCGGCTATATTACTCATCAGGCAGTTCCTGGTTCGAGCAGGGATCACATTGTTGGACTGCGTCCTGGAGTACTGGGGCTAGATACTCCGCCTCGCAATGAGTTCCTCACCACTGCTTCTACTTTGAGGAATCGCCTCGCTATCTTAGGACGGGAGATGCCTGCACCGCGCCACAGATTCTATGGTTGGGTCCATTCTTTGGACAGGTTTTGGTGGGCTCGTATGACGAAGTATGTCTTGAGCCGATGGAGCGAGGAGTTACATGCTTGCGGCCTTTATGCAGCCATTCGGGCCACCATGCATGGTTTGCCTACAAGCGCGAAGCATTTCTTTGCCCTATGCGAGCTTTATAATCCAGATTCCAACACTTTTCTGACCAGGCACGGAGAGTTGGGCTTGGCTCTTCATGAGATGCACAAGATTTCTGGTTTGCCCATGGGACAGATGTTATACCAGGAGTACTTTCCCTCCAACCATGAGTTGAGTCAGCTGAAGGATCGCATGCCCGACCGCTACGAGACCTTATGGGACCTCACTTGTCATTATCACATTGCTTTGGCGCAGTCTAAGCCCCTAGCGAAGAGGACCAAAGCAAATGTGAGCCTGAAGCAGTTCGCATCATACTTGTTCAGGAATCTGGAGAGCCATTCTGGTGAAGTTATTTGTGAACTGGCACCGCTGACTCCTTCAGAGGTTAATGAGCTGCTGAATAAGACTAACGCCCAATCCTATACCATTAGCAGTTCCGAGAGCGGCTTTCCTGCAGGGACTAAATTCAGATCGTTCTTATATCATGCGACCACACCGATTCGTCCGATGACTCTCCTTGCCGGTTATCTCGCCATATGGTTGAAGAAATGTGTGGTCCCGTATCAGTCTGGTGACGCTCTGCCACTGGAAGTGCTCTATCCTGCCGTTCAGCTTGCCTACAAGAAGGAACTTTTGCTTCTTCCGGTGATGGTGGCTAACATTCATCGAGGGCTTCGACAGATTTCTGGTGCTTTTATACGGAGAGATGATGGCAAACCGACTCAGATTCCTACCATTAAGGTGGAGCTTCCGTATATTTATTTGATGGCTTGGTTCGTTCTTCATCGTTCTGATGTGATGTCGGTACCGAATGCCATAGACCAGTCTGTTCCCTTTCTACAGCTGCTTGAGAAAGGCGAGTGGGAGGGCCGAGGATTCCCTGATATCAGGAGTCAGCTACAAGTCCACAAGTGCTGGGCATTCTCCACTTGCTTTCCACAGTTCTCCAGCCGGTACGGCGAGTGTTTGATTGATGAGGAGAAGCCGAGGGGCCGGTACGGCGAGTGTTTGATTGATGAAGAGAAGCCGAGGGAGTATAGGACTTATTTGGATATGGGCTGCTTTAATTGGCTAGTGAACATTAGGCCGGGTTACCTGACTTTCCGGGTGGGGAATCAGTGTTTTATAGAGCCGTATCTACCTTGCCGATTCGCCCGCTAGTTCGGTTATGACCAGCTTTATGTTGGGAACCCGCGCCAGCAGCTTCGGGCTCATGGAGGTCTGGTGGACGGTCTTCGTGCATGGTTGTGGACCGTGACTGGTTGCACTGGAGTTAG